TATGACAAGACATGCACTCAGCAACTGCAACAATGGCACCTGCCCAAGACAAGCAAGACACAACAAGCTCTTCTTTTTGAGGACTTAACAATCCCACTGGACACATATATGAGAAAGACAGGAAAGGACGAAAAAGATCAGTATTAGAAGGCAAAAGAGAAGGATATATGGCAACAAAAGAGAAAGTGGTGAGATGATCTGGAAGAGCTGAAAGCAGCATTGGAAGAGGCGGGTAGCAGGTGTAATTTGATTGGTGTTCTAGGTGACATATGTTGCAAACCTTGTGAATTTAATGCGGACGAGTTACCATCAAAACAGAGAATTATGAGGGCAGAAGAAATGGGAGACAAGCTGGAGACAACAGAAATTAGATCAAGCATTTTAGAAAAATTGGACATGGCTTTAGATTAAGCATATATTCCCGAAGATGAAAATTGTTAGAAATTTGTGAATGATAAGTTAAAAGTGAACAATAAGGGGTGTCAAGAGATTGAAAAAAATATAAGGAAACAAAATTAATGCAGAGAGTGGTTTGACCAAAGAAAGTGTAGGTTAACATCATCAATGCTCGGTACTGTAATCAAGAGAAGGAAGTCAATTTATCCAAACAGTATTATAAAGAGCGTCACAAAACCCACAGCTACAAAGAATGCAAGCTGCCAATGGGGAATTGATAATGAACATACTGCTCTCATGAGGTATCATCGATATAAGGACAATATATATCAAAGAACATGTAGAGATTTGTGTAGCTTGTTGTTTGGTGGTAAATCCAAGGTGGCCATGGTTGGGAGCAAGTCCAGATGCTTTAGTTTCAGATGCAAGGGAAGTGTCGTTGTTTGGGGCTGTGGAAGTGAAATGTCCTGATCCAAGTCTGGGATGACCATTGTAGGGGCTTGCAGTGACAAATCATTCTGCTTAGAGTTGGTAGAGGGAAAACCATGTCTCATAATATTTATTATTACCAATGTTATGGGCATTTGCCGGTTGGATTTTATAGATTTTGATGTTTACACTGTAAATGATATTCATGTGGAAAAAATTTGCTTAAGTAAAGTAGAATGGGAAGAGACTGCTTTACCTGAACTAACTGCATTTTATTTTAAACATTTAATGAATCTTGTGCAGTAGTACCATAATAACATGTGTTCTCTGAAACATGATTAATAGTTTCAATTCTTGGAAAAAACAAATGTACTTGTTAATTAATAGTACAAAATTATTTGTGTTTAACAACTTGAATAATATGTTCATTCCTCATGTTCCCGAATTAATTTTCTGAAAAACAAGGTTAGATATGCGCAAGCAACCGAAATCTTGTTAAAATCAGCTGCCATTGATATCGGCAAGTCGTGTTTTAGAATGCGGGAGGTCTTAATTCGCTGTATAGCTCTTTCTATACATGGATTCGATGCTTTGCTATTCTTCGAGTTTTAACTTCATCAGCTTGACAAAACTGTAACTGGTCACCAAGAAAAGGTGGTATGTTTAAGGAAACACCATGGGGTAAAAGATCCTCAATTTCAAAGCCCCTGTCTGCCATTACCTCATCACCCTCTTCAAGAAGATCTAAAATTCCACAGTCCTGTGTCAATTGTTTATCTGATGTATTCCCAGCATATACAAGTCTGAGACAAATGTTAAGTCACCTCTTGGGGAAATGCCAACTAGACCCTTGCCAGTGTTATGATTCTTGTAAGATGAGAATGTAGCACTTTGGCTTCGTGATTTAGATGGAGTGTCAATAAATAGTTCGGTACAATCAATTATAACTCTGGTTTTGGGATAATTTCAATTGTCCTTTATGCTTTCTGGCATTATACTTCTAACATACCTGTGAAGGCCAAATAGGGATGGAGCGTAAGTATCTGTAAAGGAAATCCAGCCAAGTTACCCAAATTCGTGATACTTGTGATATTGATACATTGAATCTTTCAGACAAATCTTTCTCTAACAAGCCTAATCGCAGTCTCGCAAGAAACAAAAATAGCTCTTCCTCAGGTGTTAATATTCTCTTCCGACCACACTTCTCCTTCTCCAGCTGTCTCTCCATATCATCTGTTGCATTGTGCGATCCACTATAATGTAACCTCTCGCATGCAGGGCAAAGATAGTTGTGAAATGCTTTAAATACTTTCTAACTTGGAAAGCCAGTATAAAATTCAAAGTCATTATCACTACTTTTAAACTTATTTATAGAAAAACTACATTGCTCCACTTTCTTCTTTAGTTCCAATATCTCCTCTTGTTGCTCTTCCTTTTCCTGCTTTAATTTCCCAACTAACTGTTCAAGTTCTAAAATTCTAGCATCCTTCAGCTTTGACTCCCCTTGTATCTTATCAGTTTTCTTTTTGGTACTTTCCCGTCCCTACATTTTGATGTGGTTCTAGGCTTTGGTTGTTTAGGCATCAACAGTTTTTGTACTAAACATGGAACGTTGTTAAGGCAGGTCTTCTTGCCACCCACAAAATGTTTTGAACAAACCCTGTGATAATTGTTTGGAGTGAAACCAGATCTACCAATCTAATGCAACCATTTCTTTTCAAGCTTCTTCTCTTTTGGGATTTGATAGAATGAAAGCTCTGAATTTTTTTTTGGTGTTGCTATCACAAGTTGGAATACAGCAAGTGGTTCCTCCTCCTTTATATTGGTATTTTCCTTTGTATGGTAACGCAAGCATGCATGAAGTGCATGCAAATCGCAAAGCATATTTGCATGATAATATGGTATAAATACAGGGGAAGCAATGACCTGTTCATCACGTCTAGCACGACCTAGCAGACACAAGCCTTATATCAGACGTTTGAAGCATGTCTTCAGAAGACCAAAGCGCAGAGAATCAATCGTCGAGCTCGGCTACAATCACTTCAGCTTTGATCAATCAATTTAAATCTTATCTGGATAGCAAAATAGACAGCCTTTTGTCGGGCCTAAGTATTGTGAATTCATCTCAAACTAAAAAGCTTGAAAGACAAGCAGAAGGCCGCGCCTTAAAATTTCCCGGCAACAAAGATCAGTTCCTGTTTAACGCAGAGGTGCACGATTTGCTCGACGAATCCGTTGTTTTGATAAAGAAACAAGATACAGATTCAGCATTGACCAAAATAGAAGCAGCTGAGAATCTTATACTTCAAAGGCAGAAGAAGATCAAATTAGCCGATAAGAGCGAAACTGGCTGGTTGGCTGTTAAAGAATACGAGGCGGAGGAATTAGCTAGCGATTCAGACGACGAGAAAAGAATAAAGAAAGCCCAGGAATTAGCACTTAAGAAACGCAGAAATAATGCTATTAAGAAAGACAAAGCAAGAAAATCATCTTATCCGCCTTATCATGCGCTGATGCTGAAAGCGGTTTTTTCGAGGTTCTATTGCCCTTTCTTTGTTTCAAGTGGCAGGCGAGTGCTTGCACGTAGCCTGCCATCAGTATGTGTTTAAATGTGTAAGTGACAGAAAAAGGAAATGACTTTCCTTCGGATGAGCTAAGCGAGGTAGAAGGGAATGGTATTTTCCTTTGTATGGTAACGCAAGCATGCATGAAGTGCATGCAAATCGCAAAGCGTATTTGCATGATAATATGGTATAAATACAGGGGAAGCAATGACCTGTTCATCACGTCTAGCACTACCTAGCAGACACAAGCCTTATATCAGACGTTTTATACTTCTTTATTCCTATATTGCCTGTTTGTTTTTCGTTATTTCCTGTTATCTCTATTGCTCCGTGTGTATAAATCTTGTTATAGGCCGTAGAGTCCCAATTCCATCAGATATGTCCTTCCGATGTGGGAAGAAAGGGCACTGGAGCAATAGCTGTGCAAGATTTGGATTTTCAAGGCCGATGCAGCAGCCAACTTCAGGATTCTCACACAGGTCCGCAGCCACGTCTAACCCCCCGGAACGAGGAGTTACACCTATCTGAGCAACAACTGGATGATTCAGATATCTTACAAGATAATTATGATTTGATTCAGGTACAACGTTTTATTGACGCATGTCAACTCGAAGAGTTTGTGAGTGAAAAAACCAGCGGGCTACCAATAGTTAAAGGCAGACTTAGTTCACATATTAAATTCTGGGAGGACATTGGGGCTTCCGAATTTATTTTAAATTCCATACGAACTGGATACAAGATTCCATTTTACTCCTCACCAACCCCAAAGTCCTTTCCTAACGACCAATCAGCCTTAAATAATTCGCAATTTGTCATTGACTCCGTATCAGAGTTACTATCCTCTAGCAGAATTGTGCGAGTACAAGACAGTGTTACAAGTGTGTAGTCCCTTGTCCGTGGCAATCCAACCGGGAGGAAAGAAACGACTTATTTTAGACTTGCGCTACGTAAACAGTTTTGTTTATAAACAAACTATTAAATTTGAAGATTCGAGAACAGCCATCCAATTTTTTGACAAAGGCACATACTTTACAAAATTTGATCTGAAAAGTGGTTACCATCATCTCGACATTTTCATACACCATCAACCTTACCTGGGGTTCAGTTGGCTTATGGATGGGCAGAAACCCAGTTATTTCATGTTTACTGTATTACCTTTGGGGCTGACATCCGCCCCTTATATATTTACAAAACTAATACGGCCCTTAGTTAAACACTGGCGAGCGCAAGAGATTAATAATCTCGTCTATTTGGACGACGGACTTGACATTGAAAAAAGTTCCGAATCATCTATCCGTAATTCTAGCATCATTCGCAACGACCTGAATCGGGCGGGGTTTGTAGTTAACGATGAGAAATCGGTATGGGATCCCACTCGAAATATTACATGGCTGGGTCTAAGCTGGGACGGCATAAATGGTACACTTAGTGTGTCGAATCACCGCGTAACAAAAACCCTGGATACCATTTAACAAGTTCTAGATCATCCGAACGTTTCCGCACGGAAATTAGCCTATCGTAGGTATGATAATTTCCATGGGTCCAGTTATTGGCAATCTTACGAGAATCATGACTCGGCATTGCCAGATGTCTGTTGTTTCATCCGAGACCTGAGACACATTGTTTATGCTTGATTAATACTGCAAATTAGAATTACAATTTTGGAAAGCTAATATAAATGAAGTAAATTGTCGTACTTCAAGTTTAGAAGCACCGTCAACAGAATCTTTTATTCGGACGCGAGTGCTTTATCCTGTGCAGCTCATTCGAGTGATGGGTCCTTAATTGCTCACCGTGCGTTTTCAGCTGAAGAAAGGGACACGAGTTCCACTTACAGAGAGTTAATTGCAATAAAATTTGCTCTTGAAACTTTCGTGCCAATTGTCAAACACAGCAGGATTAAGTGGTTTACTGATAATCAAGTAGCAGCTAAAAAATTTCAAGTTGGAAGCATGAAATTTAACTTACACCAATTGGCTTTTAAGATCTTTTCCACTTGCATGGAAGAAAACATTGAGTTAGACAATCAATGGATTCCACGATCTTTAAATGAACAAGCGGACTATTTGAGTAAAATTGTGGATTATGATGACTGAGAAATCACATGGCAAACTTTTCACCAACTAAAAAGCAGATTTGGACCGCACACGGTAGATTGTTTTGCAAATTATCGTAATCGCAAAGTCAAAAAATTCTATTCAAGATTTTGGAACCCAAATTCATGCGGAATTGATGCATTTTTCAAGGATGGGAGGAGGAAAACTGCTTATTCGTTCCTCCAGTTGCGCTTGTCTCCAAAGTTTTACTGCACATGCATAAGTTGAAAGCATCGGGGACTTTAGTTGTACCATTTTGGCCGTCGGCGTCTTTTTGGCCACTACTGGTTTCTCGATTTTCCTCTTACATTAAAGATTATATTGTGCTCGTTGGTAATACAGCCCTCAAACATGGACTTAACCAAAACTCATTACTCGGTTCAAACTCGTGGACAGGGTTCGTAGTAGCCTTTCGTTTGGACTTTAATCTGCGTGTGCTTAATTAATTGTTGTCCATTATGTAGCAATTAATCTACATTGCCCGGAATTCTCGAATTTAATAAATTATTAGAGTTAAAAGTATGGTTGTGCATATTGCAGCATTTGGCGGGTGCTGGCCAAGGAAATACTAATTGAGATCCTAGCTGGTTAGCTCGGGGTCAGGCGGTTGCCTTATTTTTATTCAGATTGGCACTAATTTGCTTACAAGCCGGTTGGCTATATAGGTGAGCATGTTCCTGGCTAGACTTATCAGCGATGGAATCTTCTACACTACTGTGATATGTTAATTCTAACTAATACAGATGTGCTTGTCTGTTCTTTTATTTTTCAGGACTTAGCTTTTGCATCCTCTTGGGGAATTACAACTATGGAAACCAGAAAACAAATAATTTGTCAATTATTGTCCTCTCGGGCGAGTTCAACCGTGAAATCATATATTGCCCAATACCGGAAGTTTATCAAATTTGTAAGCCAGAATTCTAAGCTTACTCGTGAGTTACCAATTAGCAGTACAGTCATTTCTCAATATTTGTCCCATCTTCTACTTGCCAAGAAATCCCACAATGTCGTTATACAAGCTCACTGTGCTTTAAAGTGGATCCACGATCTTCTCCCACTATCTTCTAACCCAGCGGATACGGCTATGATTAAAAACATCGTGGAGAGTAAGAGACTCTGTTCCAAACCTTGTTCCAGAAAAGAACCCTTATCTATAGAGAACCTCGAAGCTGTTGTTTTACGATTTGCTCTCCTAATAGTGACTTAAAGGATATTCGAACAGCACTCCTGTTTGTCCTGGGTTTTTCTGGGTTATTTTGAGCTAATGAGCTAATCAACATCCAAGCTAAGCACATCACAATCAACTCCGATCATTTGGCCATCGTAGTCCCACAAAGCAAAACAGATCAATATCGAGAGGGCAATACAGTGTTTATTTCAAAAACTAACGGAATTGTGTGGCCACATACTTTGCTTCTCACCTATTTTTCTTTAGCTCAGATTGTTCCAAATTCAGATGAGTATATTTTCAGATCAATCCAAGCTCCTCGCAGAGGAGCAACGAAAGCTACTTTGGGCCCGAGACGTCTAAGCTACACAAGATGTCGTGAATTAGTGAAGAGGGAGTTCAAATTATTGGTCTAGTTCCGAAAAAATACAGTACTCATAGTTTGCGATCCGGAGGGGCGACGTTCATAGCAAATTCACAAGCGAACAATCCGAATCTCAATCGATGGTTAAAAATACATGGAAGATGGAGAACAGATTCTTCAAAGGACATTTATATAAAAGATAAATTGAACCATAAACTAACCTTAACCCAATCATTAAATAGTTGATAGAAAGTTGTTATGCTCAGAGTTATAATTATGTCATTGTGATAAGTAATAAATTGCTAGGCGAGTCCTTGCACGTAGCCTGCCATTAGTATGTGTTTAAATGTGTAAGTGACAGAAAAAGGAAAATGACTTTCCTTCGGACGAGCTAAGCGAGGTAGAAGGAAAATTGTATTTGAACATGTAGCTCCTTTGTTGGTTGTATCAGCCTCCATTGAAGTTCCTGGGTCATCATACATTATAAATTATACTTTCAGTTTAAGCAATTTTATATTCTAACTAAGCTACTATTTCAAATTTAGTACTAGGACCTGCCTTAGTATTTAGATATCTAATTATAAATTTAAAAAATTACACTAACTAATAATATATATCAGTTTATAGCTATCAAACTATGTATAAGTTTAATTCGTTTTACCTAAATTCTAGCTAAAAATATTATTTTAAATTAATCCCAATCCCAATCGATTTCATCTACTTTGCACGAAATATAGTTTATAGTACATAAAAGCCAATTTTGGTTTCAAAAAATTAGCAAATGCTACGAAAAAAGTATATAAATGTATAGTGTGTAAATGTATATAAATGTATATCGCGGCGGCCATTTCCATTTCCCTTGCAAGTAAAAGGTTACCACATTTCCCATGATGCTTTGCTATAATGCAAATTGCCTATAACCTATATCAAAATATAAAATAAACAAAGAAGCGGCTTCCTGCTTAATAATCCATGATTGCCACAGTTAACCTCTAAAAAGCGTACTTTTTTCGTCCTATGCATGGTCGACTAACCTATTGTAGTGTGTTTTCAAAATGCTTTCAAAACATGTATATTATGGCTAGTCTTTGCATGGGCGTCCCAATTGTTGCCGTGGATAAAAACGTTGAAAAAATGAAGAAATCATGGGGCCAAACACGAAATTTATGCACTTATGGTCCCTCTGATTATTGCAGTGCATAAAAACATTTAAAAAATAAAGAAATGCATGCTGTCAAACCCGAAATTTATGTATTTATGGTCGTTCTTATTGTTGCAGTGCAAAAAAACGTTGAAAAAGAAAGAAATCACGCTGTAAAACCCAAGATTTATCTATGTATGGTCGTCCCGATTGTTAAGGAACGCTGGAAAACCTGAAATTTATCTCAGAATTTATGGGCGTCCCGATTATTGCAGT